CAGTTAAATCGGTGTCTATCATGATAAAACCTGACACAATATCAAACCTATATAATGAGTTTGGAAATTTTAGAAAAATGTTTAATAAATGCACTGTAACTAAACCCATTAGATTTTAGCCGACTAAATTTACTGTAGATTTAGTCGACTAAAATATGACTAAAACTAAATGGCATTTTAGTCAAAAGACTATGACTAAAACTAAATCAAAATTTGCTGTCAAAATTAACACTGGTCAGTGAAAGTAGAATGTTTTTCAGAAAATACTGTTTAGTTTGACCTCAGGAGGTCAAAATAAATAAATGAGTCATTTTATTTTACATTAAATGAGTCTTGCAATGTGGCTTACAACCTAGGTTGATTGCAATGTACATTATTAAATAGCAATTATTATGCAAACACATCAAATACAAATCCGTACCTTATTCATAGAAAGATCATTGTGTACAGTATTTAAAATAGTGACTAAAACTTGTCTAAACTAAGCTTGTAAAATGTGTACCTTTCAGACTCCAGGGACATAAGCTTGGCAACGTCGTAACAAATGCGAGCATCCAGAACTATGCAGTTTTCATATGCTTTCCTGGATATGAACACAAAGAGATGAAAAGGAGAAAAAAAGTGTAAGAGAGACAGAACTCCCATGAGGGGGACAGGAAATAGTTCTGCTAATTCCCACTTTCTCTTTTAACCTGGCACTGGAACACAGTGTTGATAGTCTTGCAGGAGCCAGGCTTCAGTATTGTCTGGCACACACTATACTTCACGCAAGCCAAGAATGGCTCACTTAGACAGGAACAAACTGACCGATATGTGAAATAACCAACCACTGTTTCTTTTTATGTGATGCATAAGGGTAAGTAAATCTAAAATCAGTAGTACCAAAATAGAAGACTGGCATGCAACAAATTGGTAAGCTTTTAAAATAATGACACAGCAGCCTCTTTGAGACGATGTACACACAACACCGAAGACATTAGTGGAATATAATGTGTACACTATAATGTCAAAATTTCCATCCATCCTAAAGTAACAGGTCTGTGGGAGTCTAAAGGACTGATGACTCTTTTCCCAGTTGGCTGCAGTAGGACAGACTGCAATATGCTTTGAAACGTCTGCGAGACTGATATCCCTTCTGCTCTCTTTTGTGTTTGTTCTATTCTTCCTCTATCTACACATCCTGCTTTCTCTTTCTCAATTGGTTTGGTGGTCACTTTGGCCCCACAGTCTTGTTCTAGAAATCCTTGACCCAGAAGAAGTAAAAGACATGTATTGTCCCCACACATTCTTTAGCAGTAAATGGGATTAGATAAACTGTGGATGGACACACTGAGCATCTTGTAGCCACATGATCACTTTAGATCCAATTAAAGTTGGTCATTGTCAATTTACTGTGTGGACTGGGAACTCTTAAAGGGACAGTCCACCCAAAAATGAAAATTCTGTCATCATTTACTTTCCCTCATGACTGACTTACGCAGAACACAAAAGGAATATCCAACAAATATTGGACCCCGTTGACTTGGATTAGACATTTAGCTATCAAATTATTTTCTTGTAATGTTCTACAAAGGAAAATATGGATTCTGCTACAGTTAATTCAAAGATCTAATCTAAATATTTATTATGAATCATAACCAGTTATAATTCGTCATAAATATTTCCCTTTTTGAGTTGAAAAACCCTACAAAGGGTATGTTCAGAATGGCAAACTTTTACAGCACCTTTACTACTTTTGTAGTATGTATGTATACTGTGAACAATATGCATATTTTCTATATGGACAGAAACCTGGATGATGTAATGCACTCAAGTTCATCTTCTATTTAGAGGTTGATCTCCTTTTCAAACGACTCATGCCAGTGTTTGCACCTCTCGACTTGTCAAGTGCTGCAGATATAGCCTTAAGGTCTGTACACAACAAGGATGATAATAGTTATAATATCTATAACTATAAAGTTTTAATAGCCATTCTAATTCCATGTGAATAGGGAAGTCCACACCCTTACATAACTATAAAAATAAGCCAGTGTTATTTCAGTATTATTGATATACTATTAGAGTTGGAATAAATATTTTGAATTAGTTTTTATTTTTGTATTTTCCATTTTAATTTGAGTAATTAGTACTTTTGTAATTTTGTAAGTGTTTTTTATCTTTTTTTTATTTATTTAAATACATACAATCACTTTAGATCCAATTAAAGTTGGTCATTGTCAATTTACTGTGTGGACTGGGAACTCTTAAAGGGACAGTCCACCCAAAAATGAAAATTCTGTCATCATTTACTTTCCCTCATGACTGACTTACGCAGAACACAAAAGGAATATCCAACAAATATTGGACCCCGTTGACTTGGATTAGACATTTAGCTATCAAATTATTTTCTTGTAATGTTCTACAAAGGAAAGCAAGTCATACACACTTTGCATATATTACACACTTTACCCTTACAGATGATAGGAAGGCAGATCCTAATTAACATTGTGACAAAAAATGAGTATCTTAAGCAAGAACTTACTCAAAATGCTGCTTTATTTGACTCTCTTCTGCATATTTTGCGATCTCGTTAATGAATAAAGTGCGTTTCACCTGTGAATAGAGACAATTTGGAGACATCAGAGTTAAGTTATGGACCTTAGTCAGGAGAGACATTTCATTTGACGCAAAAAATTAGCCTGTGAAGAGACAGTTTGCAGTGTTAAAATGTATTAAATAACTAGCCAGGTTTACATTGTTTGATGATTCATCTGTGCACATTGTAATTGTATTTCTTTGTAATCTTTCATCGAAATGTAACATGCCTCTGGAACAACTTCACCATCACCAACCTCTTATTTTTCAACCCCTCTTTCAATTCCCAGTGGATAAAACCAAGACCCACCCTTAAAGGGGTCATATGATGTTGCTAAAAAGAACATTATTTTGTGTAATTGGTGTAATGAAATGTGTTTATGCGGTTTAAGGTTAAAAAAACACATTATTTTCCACATACTGTACATTATTGTTTCTCCTCTATGCCCCGCCTTTCTGAAAGTTTGCTGCTCACAATTCGAAGTCAATGAATGTGTGAACCCTTGCTACATTTTGCTAAATTACTGCTAGCACTGCACAAAGAAGGACAGATTATTCTTCCTTGGCCAGGAAAATAATTTTTCTCTGAATTGATAAATTATTATTTTGTCTGCTCGGTGGACGGACAGATCAAGTAATGGTAATATTGATTCTGCTACAGTTAATTCAAAGATCTAATCTAAATATTTATTATGAATCATAACCAGTTATAATTCGTCATAAATATTTCCCTTTTTGAGTTGAAAAACCCTACAAAGGGTATGTTCAGAATGGCAAACTTTTACAGCACCTTTACTACTTTTGTAGTATGTATGTATACTGTGAACAATATGCATATTTTCTATATGGACAGAAACCTGGATGATGTAATGCACTCAAGTTCATCTTCTATTTAGAGGTTGATCTCCTTTTCAAACGACTCATGCCAGTGTTTGCACCTCTCGACTTGTCAAGTGCTGCAGATATAGCCTTAAGGTCTGTACACAACAAGGATGATAATAGTTATAATATCTATAACTATAAAGTTTTAATAGCCATTCTAATTCCATGTGAATAGGGAAGTCCACACCCTTACATAACTATAAAAATAAGCCAGTGTTATTTCAGTATTATTGATATACTATTAGAGTTGGAATAAATATTTTGAATTAGTTTTTATTTTTGTATTTTCCATTTTAATTTGAGTAATTAGTACTTTTGTAATTTTGTAAGTGTTTTTTATCTTTTTTTTATTTATTTAAATACATATGTCCATATTAGTCTTAATTTTTATTTCAGTTTTCATGATTTTTATTTCTGTTTTAGTTATTTTAGTACTTTAAGTTAAACTAAAAGAAAATGAGAAATTATGCATTGGCAACTAGCTGAAATAAACCGTTAACTGAAATAAAACAGCTTTTTATTTAGTTTTAATTAATGATAATAACCCTAATAAGGACAGAGGAACAATATCATTAGAATCACTTTCAGAACTCATTTTTCTACAGTAACCGATGAATGATAAAAATATTTACAGTGAATCAGAATCCACTTAGCTTTAAAGTGCTTGAAGATTTAAAGTGACAGATGACATAACTGCAGCATGATGTTATGTGTTAGTGTGGACACTAATAGAGTTAACGTTTTAGTTATAGTTCTTGGTGTGAATGGGCATTAAACACAGGATCATTTTACTATTTAGTAATGTGCATCGAATATCTAATGTTTTTGATGCTGTATGTTGAATATTCTCTAAATGCACAACTCAAATGTGTCTAGAAGTTACTATTTAACAAATTACAGTTGTTTACTGTTGCATACTAAATGCTGTTTTACATACATGTTTTAACATTGGAGGGAGAATACAGTGTAAAATGAAAGGATGCTAGTATTCCATTCTGAACATAGCCATAGGCATCCACATTAATGACCTTGCAAGCTACTTACGTTGTCCCTTTGGTCAAAGTCGACCGAGCTGGACACAGAGGTGAGACGCTCGTATCGGGAGTCAGCAGGCGTCTGCATGGCGGAGGCCACACTGAACACAAACACACACATTATCAAACACGTGCCCTCCGAGCACAGCACGCAAGATAACACAGAAGTGTACA